ACACCCACGTCCGACACGCTCCCACAGCGACTCACTCGCCCACACACACATCCGGCACATATCCTGCACCCGCACACCCCCGTGCCCGCATGATTATGTAATGCTATTTTGTAAGATAAGTGATATGTAACGATATGTATTTTGAGAGCACATGCAGACGTATCTACCGTGCAGATATGCGCACTTGGCACACAAGCCTATGCTCGCCCGGCACACGCATACATGCGCGCCCGGCGCACGCACACACGCGCGCCCGGCGCGCGCACCTGGCCAACCGGCGTGCGCACGGATGCACACTCCGCACTGGAATGCCCCTGGAGCAGCGATTAGACACAGCGTTGTGATAGAAATTGCGTAAATTCTAAAGGAAAAATACATGTTCTCTGTATAGTAGCGCAGCAGAAACACATGTTTATGGCAGCACACAGGTATCTTTTGGCACACACGCACATGCGCGCCCGGCGCGCGCGACTGGCCAACCGGCGCGCGCACGGATGCACACTCGGCCCTCGGATGATGTCGGATGCCCCTGGACCTGCTGATGTATAGCTGTTGCTGCTGTTGCTTTTTTCTTTTGGTGAGTGCCACTGACTGATGTTCGCAAAAAATGTGTGAATGTAACACTGGTCGTCACTGGCTTGTCAAATGATGTTGTTTTATTGTATTATGTATTTATGGTGGAAGCCGGGAGGTTGGAACGTGCCCACTGGAGCAAATTGGCCCCAAGCCACAGGTTCCGACTTTGATCTTGGAGGCTAAAGTTGGAACATGGTTGGTGTTGCCTCAAACCCTCCCTCCCAACCCGCCCCCCGCCCCCCCGGTTCCTAGGGTTGCGGTTTGCGTGTGGGGGTGGTTTCGTTTCAGGGTTTTTCAGGGTGGTTTAGGACACATCTGCCTAGGTCCCTATATTTTTGGGGAAACCGGGCATAGGGTTTAGGGTGCCTAGCCCCCCAAGTTTTAGGGGAAAGCGGGCACGTAGGGTTTAGGGCCCAGCATTTACTGTATATTTTTTTGGGGTCCCCCAACCAGGGGAAGCTGGGCTTAGGGTTTAGGATAGTGCTAGGTTAGGTTGTTTCCCCTCCACAGGGTGCCCCCCCACCCTCCAAGCATAATGATGTCCATATCATATGGCACCACCCAAGTACGTTTGGCACACACGCATACATGCACGCCCGGCGCGCGCACACACGCGCGCCCGGCGCGCGCACCTGGCCAACCGGCGCGCGCTCGGATGCACTCGGCGCTCGGATGATGTCGGATGCCCCTGGAGCAGCGATTAGACACAGCGTTGTGATAGAAATTGTGTAAATTCTACAGGTAAAACACATGTTCTGTGTATACTAGTGCATCAGAAACATATATTTATGGCACCACGCAAGTACATTTGGCACACACGCATACATGCACGCCCGGCGCGCGCACACACGCGCGCCCGGCGCGCGCACCTGGCCAACCGGCGCGCGCTCGGATGCACTCGGCGCTCGGATGATGTCGGATGCCCCTGGAGCAGCGATTAGACACAGCGTTGTGATAGAAATTGTGTAAATTCTATAGGTAAAACACATGTTCTGTGTATACTAGTGCATCAGAAACATATATTTATGGCACCACACATGTACATTTGGCACACACGCACATGCGCGCCCGGCGCGCGCACGCACGCGCGCCCGGCGCGCGCACCTGGCCAACCGGCGCGCGCTCGGATGCACTCGGCGATCGGATGATGTCGGATGCCCCTGGAGCAGCGATTAGACACAGCGTTGTGATAGAAATTGTGTAAATTCTACAGGTAAAACACATGTTCTGTGTATACTAGTGCATCAGAAACATATATTTATGGCACCACACATGTACATTTGGCACACACGCACATGCGCGCCCGGCGCGCCCGGCGCGCCCGCCTGCTCCCCCGGCGCGCGCACGGATGCACAGTAGGCACTCGGATGCCCCTGGAGCAGTGATTAAAGAGAGCCTGGTCATAGAAATTGTGTAAATTGTATGGGTAAAAGTTGTAAAATACATGTTCTGTATATAGTAGCACAGTATAAACACATGTTTATGGCACCACACATGCACACTTGGCACACACACACACACACATGCTCGTATTTCTAGTCTATATAGTATATGAATATAATTTGCATTCTTAAGAGAAGATGTGCATGTTGGCATATGCACCCGACACGTGTGCGCACACACAGACACACGTGCAGATATGTTCGCACTGACACCCCCGCGCGCCCAGGACGCACGCAATGCACAATATGTACATTCCTTTGTCTTGCGTCCAAGCATGCTTCGGATCGGTTGTGAATTGCCAGCTATCATGGACCGCTGGCACGATGGTTCAAGGGCCCATTGCATGGGCCCTTGAAAATGAAAGCTAGGGCGGCGATGAAAGCCATGAAGGCGATGAAAGCCATGAAGGCGATGAAAGACATGAAGCCGATGAAAGCCATGAAGGCGATGAAAGCCATGAAGACGATGAAAGCCATGAAAGCGATGAAGTCCATGAAGACAAAAAAGCCGGGAGCCGCCTCGAAGTCGCGCAGTGGCAAAAGCAACTGGCACGCATGGCGATCGAAGCATGATGTGGGAGTGCCGAAGCCCTCGGAAGCAATGGTGCTTGAGGCTTCCGAAGGGACGCTGGATGCAGATATGGACCCGCTGATCTCGGAGCCGACGAATGCGAACGAGAAGAGCACGCAGACGCCCTTTTTTATCCGTCGGCTGAGAAGGGCAAGGGACAAGGAGGACAGACATAGGTTTTGCTGAGTCTTGCTATTATAATTACTTCGAACCGGTACACATCAATCAACCCATGCAATGCATCTTGATATGCAGGATATCAATATTCACGGGCTGGACGACCTCCTCACCCCCAGTTCCCAGTCTTACTTTTTGAGCAGTTTGTTTGTGCTGTGATGTAACATTCTTTACAGATACTGACTATTAATATCTCGTTGCTGGCGGTCTTCTTGCACTTCAGGCCGACCAGTTCTGCATTTGGGCGTGAACGAAGCCGTCGACCTTGGCGACAGGCTAATTTATCTCCCGACGATGAAAAGCATCTCCGGCTACGAGTAGGCCGGGCCGCATGCTGACTGTGGAGCTTCCCAACAAAGGGAGACCTGGATGTGGTCATCACGAATTCTTGTGGACAACGGAGATGGACTTGGGCGAGCATGCCTGAACTTTGATGTTTTTTCTGCCTTTGCCTCTTGGCAATCTGGCGAGATCCGGATCGAGCAGTGCCCTAGCCACGGCCAGTACAAGTCAGTAGGGCGTAAAAAAGGTCGCGCGATTTGCTGTAGACTCCAAACCAAACCTAAAGCTTGAACCGTGCAGGGTTCAGGCCTCAGCCCAAGCCAAACTCAAAAACCCCAAAACCGGCCCCTGCCCATGTAACCTAAACCGTCTATATCACTAGACATTAGACTATATCACCCCTTCAGCTCTGGGCCTCCTGGGTTCCTGAAAAGTCACGAGATGCATCATGTTGTAGTTTAGGGCTCCCGGGCGTTGTGGTTTGCCTTCATGGCGTGTGTCAGTTTCAGATCCTAAACTTCCCCGAACACTAAATAGGCATAAACCCGCTTTGAACCCTAAACCGAATAATCCTCATCAGTCCTGTAGAAGTCGACGCGCTAGCAGTCCGAGCTAACCGAATTGCTCCATTGTCCCCACGAACAGTAACCTGCCTACAACTCCCACAAGGCCGTTGTCGTTACCCTTACACGACCGACTCGGTAAACTCATAGACTGTTGCATGAACTTGCCCTAAACCCAAAAACCTTTGAATATATAATTTGTTCTTGATAATCAATTTACGAACTGCTAAACCCCGAACTGGCCCCAAACCCTACACTGACGCGAGGTGCTGGATTTCTTCTTCAGATGAGTGGGTTGGCGAGGCGTCGTGATCACCAAGCTCCTTGGCTTTTATTGGCCGGCAGTACTGCGGGGGACTGTGTTCAAAGCCTCAGGAAAGCTTGCATACTTTGTGCCATGTCTCTAAGGGTCTACGGCCTATTGGTTTCAAAATGTAAAACTCTCTACGCCTGACGGTGGCCCTAAACTCTATACTGTACCATGAGCTGACAGTGTGTGACAGACATCAGGTGCTGGATGGGCAAGGCGATGTGATCACCTGGCTTCTTGGCATTTACTGGTCGGCACTGCTGCCTGACGCTAAGAGCCGCTATGAGATGTGTTCGCTGAAAGCTTGCATACCTTGCGCAGTGGCCGAAGCAGGGAGCATGCACGCAAATGGCATCGGCATAGGCTGCGTAGGCATACGGCACACAGTGTACGGGTACAGTACGGTGTAGAAGCAGTAGTATGCTTTATAGGCGGTCTTATGCAGTATGGGAGGCTGACGGTTTGTAAGTATGGTATGGGGTATGGGTCGTATAAGGTGTGGCACATGGGGTTGTTGGCTTCGCTCCTCTAGACCGTTGCTATCATACGCCGTCGCTTGGTAGTCATATCATACCGACACCGACATAGACGTCGACAAGGTAGGTTATTGACTGAGAGCTGAGAACTTAGAAACCTTGGGCAGTGGGCATGTTAAGTCTTTAAGCTCCCGTGCAGCAACGTAGTAGTCACTTTCGGCATGCCCCGCCGACCAGCAGAGTATGACTCCTTGGGCAGAAAAAATGCCAATGCACAGCGGCAGCAGAACGACGAGCTTCGGCTGGGCCAGATTGCTCGCAGCGTCACTGGAGAGCTGGATGCTTTGGACCAGAGCACCCAGGTTGCATCTTATACACAAGCTCAGGCAAACTTGCAGCATGGTGTAGTAGCAGTGCAGCATGCAATGCACGTTATGTGAGCTGGTGATACTGAGTCGCTCAGGGGTGGCTCAGCATGACAATGTCAAGCCTGGTTCGTTTGCGGTGCAGTTTTCAGTACTGTTCTCACCCAACAGCCTAGTCCAGTGTGCTGAATCAGGGCAACAGGTGTTGAACATTGGTAAACTACAGTGCTTAGCAGCCATGGCAGTGAATGCGCAGTGCCCACTGTGCTGGTCATCTGGCGTGCCTCCCTTTGAACATGTCACAAGGCCCACAGGAGGCCTTCCAAACACGAAGGCAAAAATTATTCAAGAGATCTTGGAGACACCAGGATGCAGCATGCAGAAAGCTGACTTGGAGAGACAGCTTTGCAAAGAGTTGCGGCACGTCCTCCAGCAGGTCCGGAACTACATCCCGCATGCTAGAAATCCCACCTTGTGCCTCGGCTGCCTGCGCAAGATACATCTCTTGGGGTAATACACTGGGTTGACATGGAGTTAATGGAATCATCAAGTTTTTTCAACAACAGACTTGCAAGCTCTAAGGTCGTTTTCGGCTTTGGACAAAGCGGGGCTACAGCAGCGATGTAGAGAGCATGGCTTGGAGAGAGAGGCTACTGGCATGAAGAAGGGTGCCATGATGCATCTGCTTCGAGAACACTGGCAAGCCCAGTGCAATCTGGCTGCTGCTGCTGGTGGCCAGGGCACTGTGCAGGCGGACACAACAGACATGGCCCTGGAACGCTGGGAGCTAGTCAGGCAGCAAGACCCTGATGATGAAGACGATGACGACGGAGACGAAAACGATGAAGAGCAGCCTGGCAATACCCTGTGGCAAGAGCTTGATGAAGCTGAAGTCATGTTGCAAAGGGCCAGGCAGCGAGTGATTACATTGAGGCAGAGATTGCAACTCCCCATGTTCTGTGACCGGGGCACACAGACACTTCTGTGACCAGGTTGTGTCCATCATGTACACCAGTGCTTCGCACGATTGATTGTAGAAGGCTGTCACAGTCCGTGTAAAGAAAGTTTGTACCTACGTTCCGGTCACAGATGACACTTTGATGACACTATGTCACCATTTTGGTGACAAGCTGGGATATGGGCCCGACGTGGGCATTGCTTCCCATCGGGTATTTAATACGCCTTGCCGCATTGCGATTTGATCTTCCTGTTTCATTCAGCAGTTCATGATAGACGCATTTTCATCCCAGTGGCCAGTGATCGTTTAGAAGACTGCGCAGCGTGTGTGTCAACCCTAATTCGGCCCGTGTTTCAAAAGCCGGTACTCTAGCAGGCCGCGAAGCAGTTCCAGCATGTTCGAAAAGTGTTGTGCAGTTGGTGACACCGTGCCAACTTTCTTACATGGCAGTGTTGCAGTTGGTCCATGCATCCAAGCCTAGCAAGTCGGCGAGTTACTGAACCTTGGGGGCTCGGGGTAGAGACGGTATAGATGATAAGACAGATTGCAGTCAGAGCTCCGCCAGGCACAATACCCAGTTCCACTTCAGTTTCTTGTGAAGCCATGCATAGAAAGCAATCTCCAACCATCAAGGTAAGTGAAGAAAGTAATTGTGCCACCCACACGTTAAGTTTTCTCGGCCCATCACGTTGGTGACAGCCAAGGTCGCAAATGGAAGCCGCAGCACCACATTGCCTCTGCCTTCAGCAAAGCTCAGAACTACCTGTCGGCGTATCTTGGTGGACACAAGCAGCTAGTGGTGAATGCCAGAAGTTGTCAGTATGTGGCAGCAGCACTTCTCCGGGGACAGCAGAGGCATGCCGGGGAATCAAGTGTGTGCATTGACAGAAAGGTGGTAACTAGGCAGCAGAACTTCAAGCTTCCTGCAATAGTAGCGTGACAGAAGTTTGCTAGCCTGTAGTCACTGCAGTCGTCAAAGCTAGCTGGGTAGCGGCTTGAGTTCTACCCGCAGCCCTTGTGCAGGTGCTTCGCCGACCAGGTGATGGCGGATTCGGTCGATGATCAGTCTGGTGCTGCCAGCATACGTGTTTGCAATATTTCATTGGGTTGGGATGAAACGAAGCAGGCCCATGCGAAAGTCAAACACCTTCAGAAGGCCACTTCTACAGAGCTTCAGCCAGCAGATGAGAATCCAGAGAACATAGAGATTGTGATGCCAAAGACAGAGAAGCTCTGCTGCCATCCACCTCGGATTTTTTCGTCTTAGTTGTAGTTCAGTTTCTCTTGCTTGGCAGTCGAGTGTGGTCCGAAGCTTCCAAATGTTTGGATGGTTTCTGTTGGGGCCAATGAGATCGTGTGGACTCCTTGAACTATGCGACTAACTCTGCTTAATCTATGTCACTGACTCTGAGTATAGGAACTTAATAGGAACCAATAACTAACAGCTAACACATACAGTTCTTTCTAGATTATCTATCTAACATCTATATAATATTCTATATGATGTCATTGTCGCTACCGTCGTTATGGTTTGCACCACATTCTGTCTCCATAAAGTATACAGTCTGCCGAGTCCGCCGTCAGTGTATCATAGTCTTTGCCGCATGTAGCCTATGTAGCCTATGTCTAGTCTTCACATAACGTTCTTGTTTTGCCGCTGCCGCTGCTTCTGCTGCTGCTGCACTGCTGCTATGGCTATGACTCGGCTATGATTCATAGGTCATAGTCATAGGCTATGGGCCAGCTATGGGCTATGGCTAGGCTATGCTATGACTATTCTCGTCACATATCTCAATCTCAACATGCATCCTCAAGCAAAGCAGGCGTGTTGAGCTTTTGCATCTAAGGAAGCTGGCGCCCAACGAGGCTGGAGTTCGGCGTGCCGACAAGATCGGTGGCACGGAATACATTCATGCGCTGGTTTGCAGTGGCACTGTGTCCTGGAGTGATGCAGAAGGAAAAACTCGAGCAGAAGAGCTGAACTTGCCTCCTAGGCAGGTGACCTCAACAGCTGCCAAACAGGTAGGCCCCGCCCTTCTGCAGACCTTGGAGCAGATGCTGTTTGGTTGTTCTTTTCTGGAGTTTTTGCAGTCAGCCAAGAAGAAGTATCGATCAGTGGGTTTCAGCCTTGTTGCGGACAGTGCGAAAGCGAACTTGAAAACCGTGCGTGACCTGACGGCCTATGTTGTTCAACAAGGGGAAGCATGTGGTCTTCTCGTGACCCTTCATTTCATTCCTTGTCTCATGCACCAGATTATGCGAGTCGTTTTACTAAATATGGACCACAAGGGCTTGACAGCTGCGATGTATTCTCTGAGCCGACTACAACTTTCCACCACAACAAAGGAAAGAACATTCAGAACTATGCGTGAGCTTTTGCACAAGAACTTCGTTTACAAACCAAATGAGTCTCCACCTGACATTGCTGTGACACGTGCAACTTTTCGACGGCGACTCGCCGAGCTTCTCAAAGGCTGTCTGAGCATTGAAGTTGGTGAGATGGATATGACCGAGACCCGCTGCAGTTTCATTGACAAAGCCCTTGAGTTCTTTAATGGGGATATCACGAACAAGCAGCAGTGGTGCCACTATTGCCGTGGTTGCCACCGAGACCAACAGCATGCGATGAACGATGTGCCTTGCCAGCAATCACAGCAGGCATGGCCGGTCGAATCGTAGGCGTTACAGGATATGATGTGAATAATCAATGACTCAATGTTTCTTGCATGTGTGCCCTCTGGATCCTGGGGTGCTACTCTGCAGCCCAAGGTGTTCCAAAGCCACAAAACCCAGAGCCCAAAGTTGGGGCCCAAAACGGCCATAAGTGAAGCAAGGATTCGTAGATCATAGATCCAAAACGGGTTCATGAGTCATGATACTTAAATTTAAATTGATGATATCATAGATTGTGAGACTCTGAGACGCAAGACATTCATGTCACCATTCTCGGGCACATTTGTTCTGGGCGCGGCTTTGGTGTAGGCAAGCATGTGTCAGAGCCATCGTGAGTTGAGTTGAGATGCAACTTGTGACCAATGTGGTTCAATTAGCTAACTAGTAACTAGTTACTAGTCGTTCATTTTACTAGCCGAGGCTTGGGCCATTCTGCAGAACATCTACGACAGCAGCCCTGTGTTTGTGCCGAGCAGATGGACCAAGGTAACCCCAGCCCTTTCATATTGGGGAGCAGGAGTCTGTTTGCACGGCGCCCTGTGCACAAGTTTCGAGCAAAGCAACGTACTCTCTGAGGACTGGGTTTCATAGTGGCTCCTCCCTTCCTAAGCCCCAACATCACAATCCGATGTCGCGCGAGAGCCTTTGCAGAGTTGTTTGCTGTAGATTGTGGGGCCTGTAGGGCTGTGAGGCATTGTCTGTCGTGTGCAGTTTAGAGGTTAGGCCCTGTTAGGCACATCACTGCTCCAAAGGTTTTTTTGAGGTCCAGGTCGCGCTTGATTCCTCAGCATGGTCCCGTTAGACTTTTTTGGGTTTGCAGGTTACAGTTGTTTAGCCCGTTTCACATGGATCCGATGAACATATGAACGATTCAACTATGACTATGTATCATAGTCTATGTTAATGTTAATGTAGTAGTAGTGGACACTGAACATTGCAGGGCAGGGTTCGTGTTTATCAGTGTTGCGGTTTCGCCAAGACAGAGGGTCCCTATAATTGTTAGAAACTGCAACAGGCTGTTCAGGCTTTGTGATATGTTAGGTTAGGAATATGAATATGATAGGGTTTCGATCAAGACACAGGTGGCTGCTGGCTGATCTATTTTCCGCATAGGGTCACAGTGACATGAAGTGACATGTTAGGTCTTGAGTTTGCAAGTAGCAGACGGTTGCGCAGTTGTGCACCTTAGGGCCTTAGGGTTCCAAGGGGTGGCATCGGCAAAGGGTGGTGGCAACTTTGATTTAGCTGAATTGAGCGGTTTAGTCGGTTTAGTTTCCGTTTACACAATTTAGGTGGCCCGGCTGTCAGGCCCGCTTTTGGACCCCCCCCCTCACGTCACACACTCCACGTCTGTATGGAGGTGTGAGTGACACGTTTCACATATTGTGATCACATGTTTTGTTAGTTAAACTTATTTTTGACTCATTGGAGGCCGACAGCTTACAGAGTTTAGTCGGTTTGTTTTTTCCGTTTTGGGTTTATTGGGCAGGTTTCAGATTTCAAGTTTCAAGTGTCAACTTGTTGTCACGACACAGGACCGAGCTGCAAACGCTGACGGCAATGAAGATCAGGCTGTCTATCAAAGGGCAATGGCTCTGCGGAAATCAAGGTCACTGACGTTCATGCGGAACCCACTATCTGCGTTCAGCTTGTTCAACATGCTCACCATGACCTTGGTGCTTATGAACATAGTTGCTGTGGCTTTCAAGCTCATAACTTCCGAGAAAGAAGCACTGCAGATTCCCAGCAAAGGGGCAGAAGAGAAACGTAAGAAGAGACGACGGCTTCGGCACAAGGTCCCCGCGGATTTTCCTCGTGTCATGGATGATGCGGAAGACGACAACCGGAAATACTCCGTTTTGGATGTGTTGAAGGCCACCCAGTCGACTCTGCAGCTTCTCTGGCGTATGCTGCAGTGCAGAATCGAGAATTCTGTTTTCTGTGTGGCTGCAGCGTTCTATCCAGCAGAAGCACAAGGGGCGAGGGACGAGATGTACCAGCAGATCAGCCATGATGTTCTCAGAACGATTGCAGGCCTCAAATTTCGAATCACTCAACGATTCGACGAATCACCGTTCAACCTCGTAGACCTCACCCAAGACACACCCGAGCCAGTCGCCCGCAAAAAATTGGATGCTTTCTTGGGGCAGGAGAAATGCTGCCTGGATGCGGGTTGGTCACGGCCTGTGCAGGCTGACGTGCTGAAGGAACAGCATGACCAACTGGGCCTGCTGCTCGACCACATCGACCAGTTTAGAAAGAATGGCCGTTCAGTCACCGTGCGAGAGGAAGCTCTTCATGCCCAGCAAAGACGGATTGCAAGTGGTTACCATGCACGACCGAAAAAGTTTCAGCGGCAGGCTGCTGAATCTGTCGTTGCAGCTGCGGCTGAAAACTTCATTGCGCGTGGAGGCCGTGCAAACTTGCAGGCAGCCCCCCCCAAAGTTGTCGAAGGAGTTCGCAAGGTTAGAAAAAACACTCTGAAGCACAGCCGCCCGAGTCAGATGGGCAATCCCATGCTTTCCTTTGTGTCCACCAAGATGCGAGCCAACCCAGGCACTAGCAAAGAGCATTGGGTAGGGCAGTGGCGCAATTTGGCTCCGAATGCCAAAACATCTTGGGTGTTGAGGCACAAGACACAAGTTCGACAGCGGAGGGCAGTGGACAAAGTCCGTGCTGACACACGGGCCAAGGATGCAGAGTCCGTGTCAAGCCCATGGGGTATGGGCGATGCAGATTACCCATTGCGGGGAAGCTTCGTCTCTGAGCTGTTGAACATGTTCCAAACTCGTGACAGTGCTGAGGCAGCCATCAAGGATCTTGACTTTCCCGGGGCTGCTGAGTTTCTGGAGACCATGCGAGCGAAGAAACATCACAGCCAAGATGTTGCCTACTGGTACTGTAGCCAGCTGATGGGCAGCAAGATAGACGAGAAGGATGCAGATGTTGGGACCTGGCACGCTGTGCAGCAAGCTGAGCCAGCAAGTGCATCATGCAGGGAGTTACACCCTGGATTGTGTGCCACTGCCGATGCTGACATCCTGGCTGAACTGCCTGCCTTCATGAAGCAGATCCCAAAGGAAGACTGTGTCCTCAAATTTCAGCGTACAGGATGTGCCAACAACGAGAAGTTCACGGTCTTTGTGCGTGCAGTGCTAGGACCGGAGTGCATAGCCATGGGACGAAGTAATTTGTAGTTTGTTCGTCTGATTGTAATTATATGAGTTATATGAGAGTTTTATTATATGATATGATAATATGATATATAGGGTCGAGAGTCAGTCACAGTAGCAATGGCAGTCGATAGTCTTGGACGATGTAGTCCCGTCGCCCATCGCCATTGTGAGTCATGAGTCTAAGGTCTGAATCTTGTATGAGTCATAAAGTCAGAATAGTCAGAGTCATGGTCCGGGGTCATAGTCTCCTAGTCTTTTAGCTTGAGAGAGAAAGAGAGAGAGAGAGAGAGAGAGAGAGAGAGAGAGAGAGAGACAGAGAGACAGAGAGACAGAGAGACAGAGAGACAGAGAGCCAGAGAGCCAGAGAGAACGAGAGAGGGCTAATTTTCGTTTCATAACGAAAGGCTAGGCAAGAGCTCTCGAATTGTTCTAGTTCTATATTCAGAATAGCCCCTACCTGATGAAACGCACGGCTGAGTAGGACCAGTGACATCAGTCATCAGTGACATCATAGCGACATCATCGTTAAAAGTTCAACATCATGACTATCAAAACAATTATAATAATAACAGAAAACAACTGCCCCAAAGCCAGTGAGTGCCAGGAACAAAGACACCTTTGCGCATGTTCTTTGCACAGCTGGAGCTGGCCAACAGAGATCCCAGCCCTGAGTGTTACATGGTGCAATATGGCCCGCATGCGTACAAGTCCTCCCGCGTGCCGAAGTACCCCTTCGAGCTCAACCTAGCATTGTCACCTGGAGTTGCCGCAAAACAGGGTGGCATGTGGAATCAATTTGAGTTTGCAAAACTGATGCTGCGAAGTGCCAAAGCCTGGCAAGTGTGCAAGCTAGAGTGCCAGCAGGCCAGTGTGTCTCGACACGTCGTCAAAGGCATTGTGACCCAGGCGACAGTCAACATTTCGGGTGATGCTGCCGCTCCGGAAGCAAGTCGAGCAAGTGGCAGTGCATCCAGTGCATCAAGGGCAAATGCCCCTGAGGACTGGAGTTTCTTCGACGACCCTTTCTTGAAGCACATGCAGTCCAAGGCCGGTGTCACAGAGGTGGTGGCGCAAGTCAAGGGACAAGTCGGTGTCCAAAATGTGGTGGAAGAAGTCACGGGACAAGTGGAGCTCCAGAATGATCTAGATGGTTACGAGTCAGAACTTTCAATCTATGAGGATGGTGCCGACTCCGACGATGAGTTAGCAGAAGTGGTCGCGGGCATTGGGCAACAGGTTCGTGCACGTGATGCAGAACGACCATCCAGTTCAGATGCTCCTGCAGCAGAAACCGGTCGTGCTGATCCAACAGATGCCGCAGTTCGAGCTCCCAAGACCACTTCGACGGATTTTGACATGGTGTCCCGAGCTTTGCATCCCAGGATTGCAAGGGTCAGGGAGATGATGGTGATGATGGTTCATGACGATGTATGAGCTGAGGGATTTCTAAGGGATGATTGTGTGGCCAATGTCAGTCAAAATCGGTAATAGCAGGGCTATGATGCCTACTAATGGGGCCTACAGCCTGCGTTTCTTGAATCTTTAGACTACCGACTATCGACAGTACAGCACCGTGATGCAGTAGTGGTACGGTATACTATATATGATATAGTTAAGATATAGTCATAGACTATGACTCATAGTCATAGTCATAGTGTCTATAGTCTACAGGTAAGTTGATGGTATATAAAGGTATCAGTGATATGAGTCGCGTGATATCGAAGAAACCTACATTTTGCATCACTAGTCAAGAGTCATAGCATAGTCTTATTAAGAGTCTTATGTCGCTGTCGTTGATAGTTGAAAGTTGAAACCGAGTTACCAGATGGTGGGTTACAATCATAACGGGTCCGACTCCCTTGGCTGCGAGGATCTTGCCTTCAGCATATCGCATCTACCACCAGAAGTATGCCAACACATATGCCTTGTTCCAGAACAGCAAGCAAGTCAAGGGCACTGTCAAGCATATCAACCGTGAAGGTGGGCATCAAGGCTCTTTGGATGCATTTCTTCGCATTGTAGATGATTGAGTCAGGACGTATGTAGCGTGTGACATGTGCGTGTCAGCTGGAGGTCGACATCAGGTGGATCCTGACTTAGAAGCTTAAGCACTTCGTCATAGTGGAGAGAAGTAAAACCTGGTAGAGGTCATGATACTAAATCCAAATCCTGGCGCAGGCCGCTTAGGGTTTAGGGCTAACGGCTTAAGAGCTTGAAGAGCTTGAAGCCCAAGGCCACTTTAGGCTTAGGCAGGCATTTGGTGCTTCATTAGGGCCTAGGGCTTTGGGGGTTTTGTCTTCGCGGTGTGGTGTCTGGGGCATTCAACCCCAATTACTAAATTCCCCGTTGTCACAACCGCAGCCAGTTGGGAGCCGAGTGACCCGTTCAAAAGCCGAAGCAAAACTGCAGTCTCAAGGTCTCAAGCTTAACACCCCAACCGGGCATTATGCTTACAAACCGTGTTCGTGGACTGGCCCTGAACCCTCCGACCTACGGCCCTAAACTCTAAAGCGAACCCTGAACTGCTTTTAAAACCCAATGACGAAACAACCTGTGCCATGCCCTGTTCGCATGAGGTGCCATTCGTGCAGTATACTGCCAGCACTTTGGGGCGACGGTGTGGGGCAACTGACGTTCGAGGCAGTGTGAGCAAGGGTTGACAGTTGACCGGTCGACAGTGAAGCTGTAATTATGCGTGTGGACTCGAGTGCTGTGCATACATACGTTGGGCTTGTGACCGTGAGACAGTGCAGCTTCTGGGTACTCGTGAGACACGATACATCTTGCCATTCTGGACCCATTCTGGAACATTGCCTTGGAGTGAACCCTACCAGCCCCGCATTGTTCCCCCCTGCTGTCCAACTGTTTCGCAGGTGCGGCGGCTCCTTGCAAAAGCGTGGAGCCACAGTGCCACCCGACGACCATCATGGAGTCATCATACTGTAGATACTTTGAATGAGCATTCGGCCGCAAGGAAGGATTGAGTAACTCATGGCTTCCAATCATGCAATGATTTGACTAGATTGTATTTTCGATAGACTATAGAGCCTATAGTCTATAGTCTATACAGAGTCTAGAATGCTCTATAGTCTAATAGTCTATATAGTCTCTCTGGTCTAGAGAGTCTCGAGTCTATAAAACCACTACAATCTATAGCCTATAGTCTAGTCTATAGTATAGTTTAGTAACGTATATCATATCACAATCGTCAATCATGGTGTGCTAACAGTGCATTGTGATTGCGTGGGTCGGCGGTTCGGCAGTTCTATGTGTGTCACTGCTGTGTCAATGTGTCACTGTGTCAGTGCTGTGTCAGTGTGGCAGCAAGAGTGCACTTAAACCCTTCGGCCCAAAGCCTGAATCCTTGGACCTGGAACCCAAAAGGCCAAGAGGCCGTCGGGAGGTCCCTGGACCCCTAGAGTCTATAGCACAAAAGTACATTTCTCGGGACCCAGGGCTGCAGCAGTAAGACATCAAAACTCCAAGCCCTAGACAGTGTTCTACAAACTCTAAACCCTCAGCCCTCAGCTTTGAAATACAACGTCCAGAGGATGATTCGGTGTTGTGTTGTTTCCACCCCCGACAAGGCCTTCTAGGATCCTGCAAAATCCAAGCAAGCCTGCGGAAATGCATCTCACTTCCACAACGGTAATCTCAAATGTTCTTAAGGTAAACCGCGGTAAACCGGTAAACCCTAAATCGTCAGCTCCCAGTCATCCGAAGGATTGCTTCTGGAGCGGCGTCGCGATTCCGCGCGGGACAGATCCCGAGAAAGTGAAAGTGATTTGTTGTTTGTAGATGGGTTTTCGAGGCTTGAGGTTAAAGGATCGTCCGGATTTATGGGGCCTACTACTACTCCTACCGCTGCTGCTAGCACTAGCACTAACTACTACTAGCCGCCACTACCACTCCCGCTACCACTGCCACTACCACTACCACTACCACTACCCCTGCTGCTACTACTACCTACTACTACTACTACTACTACTACTACTCCTGCTGCTAAGACTTCTGCTGCTACCACTACTACTGCTACGACTACGACCACCGCTACCGATGCCGCTGCCACTATGACTACTACTACTGCGACTACGACGACTGCTACTACTACTACTACTACTACTACTACTACTACTCCTGCTGCTGCTGCTGCTGCTGCTGCTGCTGCACTGCTACTGCTACTACTACTACTACGACGACGACTACTACTGCTTCTACTACTGCAATTAATAGCACTACGCTTACCAGGCCATGACCTCGTCACGGCTGGCATCCTTGGCTACGGTGGTGCCACAGGCACCATCTTGGAAGGGCCACAGGCTGCTTGTAAGCTCAGGGACTTTCTGGCGAAATGGCCCTCTGCTATGTAGTCTTGAAGTATACAGTATGTATAGCCTGGGGCTTGGAATCAATATCATGTAACATAACATTTCAAGAGTGCCGTGACTGTAAATCATATCGTCATATTCATCTCGACAGCCATCTTTAGCAGCGACACACCGTGGCTATAACACCACCATGCATGTATGTATGTATGTTTGTGTGTATGTTGGTATGTTTGTATGCAAGTTTTATACAGTATGTATACTGTATGTATGTAACTGTATGTATATACAGTACAGTATACATAATACATACATGTTACATATATTATATATATATATATATATATAAATATTATATATTATATATATACATATATATATATTATATTATATTATATTATATTATATTATATTATATTATATTATATTATATTATATTATATTATATTATATTATATTATATTATATTATATTATATTATATTATATTATATTATGTATATTATGTATATAGCCTATCGCACGAAACGTCGAGCGACGACGCTGAAGGGTCGCTATGCTCCCCCTGCTGCGTGCAAAAGTCGTGAAAGCGGTCTCAGCCAGAATTCCTCGGCCGAGGCTTCCTCTTCGTGTATGCTGCATGCTGTATGCACAGAGACACCGAATGCAGCACAGAAAGATTCATTAGTGCACCGCGCGACATGTACTGTTCTGTATGACTAGTCAGTACAGCACCAGACTGTTTGCATAAACTGGTCCAGCGTAGCCCTTGTATTCTGTTTTTGTCTGAAGGTCGGTATGGCTCTCGAGTTGGCTGAGCTCAGCATCTGGAGACTGAGATGGCACAGCTGCAAGGGCTGGCAGGATTCCATTTTCATGGATTCATTAGATGCATGGTATGGGAAGTGCTCAGATTCTTGGTATTTATGAGGACAGGTTGGGGATCAGCTGGGTGTGTGCGATACTGTGACGCTCTGTGTGTGTGTGTGCACATGTACATGGGAGTGAGTGTTGCAGCAAGCCTTGCGGGTTAGCTTAGGGCCTTGGTTAGGGTGAAGCCCAGTCGTTGAAGAGTAGAATAGGCCAGCGTTTAGGTTTCAAGAGTTGTTTCTAGAAGTCTTTAGGCCTTTTAGGTGGTTGGGCTGGGTTGCACACGTCTAGGCCTTTACGCCTCTAGTAGGTTTAGGCTAAGTTGAGGCTAGGCCTAGGCCATTTAGGCTATAGGCAGCGGCATAGGGCGGCATAGGCGGCAGCATAGGTTTAGCAGGTCGCATTTTTTACGTGGTCGGGCTAGGCCAAGTTCAGGTCTCCGGAGTTTCGGGCTTAGGTCGCTTACGTCCGAGGGTCCTCCTACTCTTGATACAGGTTCAGGCGGTTCAAAGTTCAGGAGTTCAGGTTCCAAAGTCATGGCCCGGCCACCGGCTCTTGAATTTTGTCCTGTCAGTGCAAATCAGAATCTCACGGCGCTGTGATCAGCACTGCCTGCCGGATCTAGACAGTGGGTCCTTTAATTCAATGAGTTCTTTATGATAACTTTAACTTTGTATAACTAATAGACTATAGACTAGACTATATCCTGACTATAACCGTTGCTTTAGGGTCAGGGCATTCAGGGTTGTGTCTGACTCGAGCAGTGACCAGTTTGGGCAGTTCAGGTTGAGGTTCAGGGCCAGGGCCAGCTTTTGGACTAGGCCAGGGCGTCTAGGTTCTGGAAGACTTGAAACTTTAAGGTTGACTTTCGGAGTATTGCCAGGGTTAAATGCAGTTAGTTGGTCTCAAAGGCAGCAGGCGTCAGGTTGTCCTTCTTTAGCGCCTGTAATGTGTTCGCTGTTATTATTTTCCTCCGTACTTAGCATGATTCCAATATGGTGATCAATGATGGTTATCATCTGATAAAAGTGGAGTCTTCTCAGTCTTATCTTATAGATTTTGGACAGGTAGACAGACAGGCAGGTACTGTGACACGTCGTCGCAGGTCGCATCGTTGTCACGTAGAAGGAGAAGAGGTCTACTAGAGTATGTATTGTGTTGTTGTGACGCATCAGGCTATGGCTGGCTATCACGGACTCAGAAGCCCCACAATAGACTCCATGTAGTATCTATGCGCTGTGATAGGTTGAGTCCCCAGGGTCGGGTACTGTATACACTGTAGTATACTAAAGTAAAGTATGATTTCTTGATATACGATACAGATACATAACATAACATACTGAGATTTCCTAACACTCGCCGAGAAAGCAATCACGAGGGCCCAGCTGTCAGTCTTTTGCACAGCTGCCTTGCAGGACTGTCGAGCAGCAAGAGCTAAAACTAAAACCCCAACCCCAACCTTAAAGTCGAACCCTACATGGCTCATCGAGTCACTGAACCCTGCCGCAGCCCCCAAACCGTAAGCTTTAAGCTCATTTGCGCCCAGAAGCCTCAAGCCTTATTAAGCTAAGGCTCTAACCCCAGGCCCCAAACATTACACCTTGGTCGCCCTACCGGGGGCCTACCCTAAACCCTCAATGTAAACCGAAGCCGAAACTAATAAGCTCAGGCATCATGGTATAATGAATGTATATCACTGTATATCATATGTCATAACTTGTAGAAAATACTGTATACCGCGTGTAACTAACTGTTTCAATATAATGAGCCTCCTACTAATAATTAAACAAAACCTAAAGACCTCAAAACCCTAAACGGCCCTAAACCCTAAACTTCCTAAACCCACCCTCAGCCCTGTTGAACTGCCGTATACAATTGGATATCCTGTGTGTATTTTTTTATATATATAATTAATATATCATATCACTGTATAGCTTATATCAGTATGTATGCAGTAGTTTTTTTACATGTTATGTTGTGATAAATCATATAAACTCTATTATATAAGAGAACATAACTATACTTTTTGTATTTATATAATATCATATCATATATATATAATATAATATAATATATTATCTAAATTCGCTAATTATATAATATATAATATAGATTCTATTCTATCATATGAATAATATGAATCATAGATGAAACATAGATTTCAAACATATATCACCGTATATCAGTATATCAGTAAATCAGTATATCTACAGTATATCAGTATATCATAATCAGTATATCAATCCAGCACCTTATACTATCGTATCCCAGATGCATCCCGCATGCATGCCATGTTTACTGTATACTATATCTCGCAGCTGACAGCTTGATTTGAATATGATTCCGACTGGTAGGATTGGTAGGTAGGGTTCCTGAGGATTATGGAATCGTGAAACTATAGTCAAGTCTAGTCTAGTCGTCTATTCTCAAAACCAGATAGTCCAACTGATCACGCATGGCAATGGCTCTGCTTCAGGTGACGTTGGAAGATGGGCAAAAGGGCAAGGCCTCGGCTGGAGTTGGGCAGCAACAACTCAACAAGGGATGTATGACGGGAGATATCCTTGCAATTCCGAAGCACGCAGGTGCAGACCCACGAAGCTATTGCAGCTTTCGTGTTTTGTTCGCGTCCTGGCTGGTGTCGTTGGCCCAAGTTCATTCGATTATTTTTACATCTCGGGTTCACAAGCATGAGTTGGACCCTGTGAGGCACTTCTTCTTTGCCGATGGGTTGGCATCACGAAAGCCGAGGCCTGAGTGAAACATCTCCTCCTGAAAGACTGCCATAGGCTAGCGGAGCCAAAGGCCAGGTTCGCAGTCAAGCAATAGTAGAGACTGGTTGCTTCTAGCTAAGGCCGGCCAGGTCTAAAGTCTAAAGGGAGGAATCTCCAGCCTTCAGAGCTTTCGTGGCCGAGATCTGGCTTTTTACGCCTCGGGGAAAGCACCACAAGGAGCACCAGAAATAGCACAAGGAGGAGCACAATTTGGAGCACCAGAAATAGCACAAGGAGGAGCACAATTTGGAGCACCAGAAGTTGCCATGAAATAGCACAAGGAGGAGCACAATCTGGAGCACCAGAAATAGCACAAGGAGGAGCACAATTTGGAGCACCAGAAATAGCACAAGGAGGAGCACAATTTGGAGCACCAGAAATAGCACAAGGAGGAGCACAATTTGGAGCACCAGAAGTTGCCATGAAATAGCACAAGGAGGAGCACAATCTGGAGCACCAGAAATAGCACAAGCACAAGCACCAGAGGAGGCAGGAGCACAAGGAGGAGCACAATTTGGAGCACCAGAAGTTGCCATGAAATAGCACAAGGAGGAGCACAAGTTGAATCACAAATCAAGGTTCGTGCAAAGGACGGGAAGGCCAAAGCTATTGTTGTCAATTGAAAATAGCACAAGGAGGAGCACAATCTGGAGCACCAGAAATAGCACAAGGAGGAGCGCAATTTGGAGCACCAGAAATAGCACAAGGAGGAGCACAATTTGGAGCACCAGAAATAGCACAAGGAGGAGCACAATTTGGAGCACCAGAAGTTGCCATGAAATAGCACAAGGAGGAGCACAATCTGGAGCACCAGAAATAGCACAAGGAGGAGCACAATTTGGAGCACCAGAAATAGCACAAGGAGGAGCACAATTTGGAGCACCAGAAATAGCACAAGGAGGAGCACAATCTGGAGCACCAGAAATAGCACAAGGAGGAGCACAATTTGGAGCACCAGAAATAGCACAAGGAGGAGCACAATTTGGAGCACCAGAAATAGCACAAGGAGGAGCACAATTTGGAGCACCAGAAATAGCACAAGGTTTGGCTGAAAACCAGTGATTTGATCACAATTAAGAGCACCAGGAAAAGAGCCTTCAAAATGAAAGAAAGTTTAGCTGAGGCAGTGTGGAGAATTGAAACTTACTCAAAGCTGCCTGATCCGGACAGAGTCTGCCCCGCCAGCAGGGAGCTTCAACAAAGCTGACCAGAAGCTGCCCCCAACAAAGAGGGCTACTAACGTTTTCGGCACTGTCCAAACTGCCCAGGGCGGCAGCCTACTGACATAGGCCCTGGGAGGGCCTGGGAAGCCGTTAGAGAATATGAGCCAGGTCAGCCGCTTAGCTGTTTGCTTCGCTATTAAGCACCTGCAGCATGCTTCACATGTCATTGATGTGATTTATCTTCCATTCTATGAACAACTGAGTTGGAGTCCTATGCCTGACGATTTCAATCGCAAGTCGAAAGGCATTCCATGACCACAAAACAGGTTTTTCCCCTTCCTATAATATTATAGTTCGGTGTAGTAGCAATTGCAGTAGCCATTGAAGCCATAGTTCGGCTTGGTCAGCATAGCAGTTTCTGGCTGGTGCTGAAGGTCCATGGTAAAATTTTGGTGTGTCTGGACCAGACAATATGCACGGCTGCAGACGCAGCAGCTTTCATGCAGAGCGTTACCTGTTTTGTTTCAGGAATGTTTTAGGAGGCGGCAAACCTCTAGACACATATGATCACATATGATCGCACATGATGCCTCTGATGCAGCCTGGCCCTAGCACATCAGTCTCCCTCAGGCTAGATGCACAGCTGCATAGCCTCACAGATGCACCACGGAAAGCAGAGAGCTGATGTGCTAGAGCAGTGCAAGCCTATCCAGAACATCAGCTGTATCGTGTATAATTTACAGATGCAGGTTGGGGATCTTATGGTGAGTGATCCTATACCAGATGACAAAGTGAGGAATGTCATCGATCTGCGTAGTCTGGTCAACTCTTTAAACTGAAGCATTGAGGCCTGAAGCTTTACACACATCAGCGTCTCAACTCTCAAAGCACTTAAGTCTGGATAGAAATTAAAAGTCTTTGAAAGTATCAATACGGTACTAATGTAAAAGTGCATGAGTGCTGCTACCAGTTGTATCGGTATTGCACAAAGGACTGGAAGTTGCCAACATCGTTTCGCGACACGACAGTGCCAGTTATCAGAGTGTCAGGAATCTAGTAATCAGTATCAAGACCAAATCCAGGCAGCATACGGCTTGTGGCACCCCAGTAAATATGTTATTCTCGGCAGACTATACATGGCATGCGGTATGCATCTGGGATACGACGATATATTGATAGACCGCAGTGATTCGAATATGATGTACTGTTATACTGTGGTACTGACTGATAAAGCATTGTGTGGTGTATTAAATATGAATTATTAAATTAAAATATATCACTACGTGATATCTTTTATGATATTATGTAACTATGTACCGGTACGTGTAATATAATTTGAATTAAATATATGATATGATATGATATGATATGATATACCATGATATATAATAACCTGCGAGGCATTGAGATGCTTTGTCTTTCCCCAAAGACAGGAAGCCATCTACGTTCATCTTTGAGGATGGCAAAGCCATCGCGTGAGATAGCAGTGCGCAGTGAGGACGAACACAGAAACCCGGGCTCGTCGTTAGATTTGATCTCATGTCAGTGCCGAGTCAGCGCCAGTGTTGCTTCAGCTTGACCCGATGGCTTCCATGAAAGCATGACAAACTGTGCTGTTCCAGGCTCCTTCTGCCAGGCATAGGGATACTCGGGTCGGGGACGGTTTTGCGAAGTTAGGACTGCACGTGATGATGTCTCGCTATGGGGATTGCCCTGACTCACAGCCACCGTCCGACGATCCATTTTGGTCACAAGCTGAACCTTCGCCAGCCCTGGCAGTTTGTGAACTGTGACTGTATGTGACAGTATGTTACTTCGTTGTTGAGGTCGGTGACGTTGCTAAGTGCTAACACACTCCAGGAACAGCAGCATCGGGATGATGCGACGAACATGGAAACAAAGGACTGTGGTTTTCTGTTGAAGCCGCTAGGCCGCTAGTTCTTCTAAGTCAATTACTTCTTCGTGTAATCCAGACTAGTAGCACATGCTGCGATTCTTGTTTTAGGTTCTGGGTAGCCTAGGTAGTTTCATGGTTCCAAGCCCTGGGCAGGAAGTTGGGTTGGTGGCAGTACTGTCGCAAGCATGGGGCGCCCTGAACGCTGATGAGAAAGCCGGAGTGGCAGAGGTAGCAAGAGCATTTTGCTCGTCCACTGCTGCAATCACCCTCACAACTTTGATGAGTGGATCTGATGGATGTGTTGGAACATTGCAGGACAGCCTGTCAAGATCTAGTAGTACGTTTAGCAACGTTTCCGGTAATTTCACAATCTGTGGGGTTGTGGCAGGCCACCCTGGAGTTCATCATGAATCAGACCGAGGCCTGCCACAAGATTGCCGCGCCGGCGCTGTCACATATGTGCTTGCAGCACATGGTCAGTTGTGACTCTGACAGTCGTGTTCGATATTGGTTGCGGCAGACCCAGCGCATGAAGCATCTTTCCTTGGATATCAATGAATGCTGTGACATTGCGTTCTGGGATGAACTCCAAGCCTCGTTCCAGCCCACTCCGAAGACAAGCGTCTGTATGTGCTCGTGGGTCTGTCACGACGTGCAGAGGTCTCAGTCGTCCCAGGCACCATGCATTCATACGTTCACACAGTTACTGTGCATCAGGCTTGCAGCAGTGGTACCATTGCAAGTGTAATTACAATTTTGTAAAGCACATGTGCTCCAGTGAAGCTGGCTCCAGTCAGTTAAGGTCTCGTCGGAACCCAAAGCGGAAGTTCGATGCTCTGGAAAGTGGTTCTGGTCGAACGGCCGAAAGCTTCCACAAGTTTCTTGAGTATTTGGAGGAGCAGAAACCCAATTACTTCTACAGTGAGATTGTACATGGCAGTATGGATCATGATCGTTCACTTGGGTCCGATAACAAACTGTCAGACCACTCCAGTACCATCCAGATGTTTGCAGACAAAGGCTACCTGGTAACTTGGCAGAAGGTGTGCCCGCGGCAGTGCGGCGTTCCGATGTCACGCCCACGTGTACACTATCAAGGCCTGAGGGTAGACTCCTTGCCAGCAGGGGAAGCACAGCGCCGCATGAGCAACCTGAAAGCTGCTTGGGATCGGCTCACAGGAGCCCAGTACAAGCAGATGGGATTGAGTGACTTCTTGGTGGGTACCTCGCCGGATGACGGTGACTTCAGTGACAGTGGTTCTTACTTCTCCACAGTTCTGGAGAAAGCCCAGCAGAAGTCTGAAAAACCCAAGCCATCCTCGGGAGCGGATGCGAAGTGGAAGGTCCTGCACAGTCAGCTCTTCAAGCAACATGAGGCCCGATGCCTTTTGTTTGAGTGTTTCTTCAGGCTCTGCAGGGTTGCATGTTGAATCTACCATTCCTGGGTCAAGGGGGGCACCCGGCACAGACTTAGATTTTTCGATTGTTTTGGAATCTCAGGAACACAAGAAATTGAACGAATGCACTCAGAAAAGGCCTTCCTTTGCTTCAGTGGGATTGTAGCATTACCAGATCACAGAGTACCATGAACCAGTCTTTTCATTTAGTTGCCTGGACCTGTCCCTGCGCCGCAGGTCTATAGGGGTTAGGCGGCTGTCCTTGCGCCGCTAGGAATCTTAGGTTTGGGGTTTGATTTGGGATAGGGGTTATGGGCGACTTTTTATGTAGGTTTGGGGTCTAGTCTAGGTTTAGGCGGCTGTCCCTGCGCCGCAGGTTTAAAATTTAGGGCCATTTAGGGTCTAGGAGTCTATAGGGGTTAGGCGGCTGTCCTTGCGCTGCTAGGAATTTTAGGTTTGGGGTTTGGTCTGGGATAGGGGTTAGGGCGACTTTTCATATAGGTTTGGGGTGTTTGAGTCTAGGGTTTAGGCGGCTGTTCTTGCGCCGCGGGTTTAGGTTTAGGGCAACCGTTTAGGTTTGGGCAAAGGGGTTAGGCAGCTGTCCTTGCGAACCTGTGTAAAGGCAAGGCTTGTCATTCCGTGTCGTGGTTCCGGTCCAGTCCAATGTACGTTTTGCAAAGGTTTCTAAAGAAGGGCTGGTTAGCCGCTTCGGCGTTCACCATGTTGGCTTGCGATCCAACAGCTAAACAGAACATGAAAAGCATGCAAGCCGGGAACGTTTCAACAGCCAGAGCCAGGGCTTCAACCAGTGGGGTTGCGACTTCGGGTTGGTTTGTGGTCGAGCCACACAGTGTGGATCTTGAGTCTTCAGTTTGAGTGTCAAGTTTAGCCTTGGGGTCCTTGGTCCGACGGGAATGAGTCCACGCGAGTTTGGCGCAGTTTGGTAAGTTGAGATAACATATGATTTCATGATATGATATCATTAAGAAACTATAAAATTATAAGTTGTAAATTACAAACTCTAACTAAGTAATAATTAACCGAACCTATAATACTTCTATCGTCGTATAAAACTCATACAACCCGACATGGCCGACATGGCCCCGCGTTGCCCCTTGTACATTTTGTGAACTGTCTGAATGGTACGGAATTTTTCCATGTAGGCAGTATAACAGTATGAACGTTTAATTTGATTTGTTTCAAACAGGAAACTCAATAAAACCATCTCTCCGGTATAGGTGTTAATGGGCTACTTCGGAACATTCAGGGAAAAGGTTGATGGGGCGTCGGGGCGTGTTACGACATGTTGCTGGTTCAGCAGCGGGGAGTTGTGTTGGGGATCGTGATCGTCTTACAGTCGGGTCCAGGTCTAGGGCTGGAGTGCCTTCAGGCATTTCGGGTTCAAGCCTTCAGGCATTTCGGGTTCAAGTTAGAACAGGGTGCAAATAGTGTCACAGTGTGAGTCTAAACAGATCATATCATGCATATCATATCAATACTGCTCATTGTATCATAGTGCATCATGTTCTGTCTGTAATAGTTTGTAACTTGTATCATCAAGTCGTTGTGCTTCAGTAAGTAGAGCCCGATGTCTAAGTGGATTATAACGAAGTATAGTACAGTATATTATATTCTGTTGAATTATTGTAAGTTGTAACTAACTGTGACTTTTCTTAATATGTAGTTGTTCTGTCGTGTTCATGTTATGTTTGTAGTCTAGCTATATCTCTCCGCTCCAGTCTGGGTTCGCATTCCCAGAGGCTTACACCCTCAACCCTAGCCAAAGCTGTTCCGCACTATACCCCAAGGATAACGGCACCCTGCACAGGTGACAGAATCGCAGCTTCTTCGAATTGAATCGGAGAAGTACATGGGCAACGTCTGGTATGAGAGCCTTCCACGACGCGAACAGGAGATTATCCTGTTTTATGATGCTACCTATCCCACTGTGGTGGGAGCACCTGAGGAGTTCTTGGACGTGTGACGCTTGCGTGTTTATCTTCTAATCAGATAGATAATCATAAACAGACATGCAAGTTCTTCTAGTCATAACTGTATACAGTTCCACCATACTCTCATATCGTGGATCGGAATCAAGTCTGACTCATATCAGACTCATATCATATCATGATCATATCATCTTGTAAAACTTAACTTATTAACTTATGCCTTCTAGGACTCGTGACCCTTGACTCATGAAGTTTTCTGTTATTCTGATCCTTCCCCAAAGCAGGTGTAGCCTCCAGAGCTGATGGATTTCACGTTGTTGTGAGATTGTGAGTTTGCTTTGGATTGTCATTGCCCGGCCAGGTCCCAATCTCTTGAGAGATGCCCTGTGACCAAGCATGTGTCCTGCCTCACCCTGAGCTCACGGCACTGGATGAGATCGGCCGGCCGGTGCCTCTTGGGCAAAGAAAAGATGATGCTACAAGGCATTCCCATGGATGCCGAGCCATACCGGTCGGCCTTGTGCAGGATTCCTGAAGGAACCCTGCACCTACTTGCAGGGAATGCTGTGAACTTCTTTAACATGTCTTTGGGCATTCTTGCTGCGTTCAGCGCTCTTGACCATGCCACATGGACCCAGGTGCCTCGCGTCTAGTTGGGTTGACCCCGACGATTCATAAGTAAGGGCCCTCTGGATTTGTGATTGGCTTGGCAAGATCTAGGTGTTATTGCTGACAGCCAGCAGAGCTCCATGTGGTGTGACCAGCAGTCTTGCAGAAGCTTTGACTGCTCGGCTCCGTCCTAACAGAAATGTTGCAGTCCATGTTCGTGGAGTTTTGTCAGACTTGGGCGAGAGCTTGACGGCCACACGGCACGGGGATGGGGGAATGATTCGGGGAATGGTTTAGTTTAGGATTCAGTGACAGTTCAAAGCATAGGCGGCGCGATTTAGGGCCAGGGGCTGTGATTCACTTTAGGGCTTTAAAAACTGGTCGGATTTATTACAATCAGACCAAACCAATCCAAACTAGACGGTTGTGTGCTGTGTTTGCTCTCGCTGCGGGGCCGAAGGCTCCTTCTTCAGTTCGTTCTGGCGGTTCTTGTGTGATAACACAGGAATCTGAAAGCTGCACGCGCTGCTGCACAGAGGTTAGGCAAGCTCTTCTCCGGCGGCACGTGGCCATAGGGCTGTGTGGGAGTGCATCCGAGGCAAGCACAGATCAGTTATCTAGATGGGCAAGGCCCTAGAAGGCCACCTGGAGCTTGCAGCAATCCCCAATTCAAGCGTGGCAGCCCCGGCGGATATGGAAAAATGGGAACGAGTGTGTGGGTCAGTGACGTTCAGTTTTCCAACTGCAAGCGTACTGACGCAACATGTCTGGCGCAGCACGATTTAGCACATGTCAAGGCAACCAAGTCATGTCGTGTGAGCCAGAGATACCGGCAGACCACCCCATAAGATATGCTGTGTGTCTCATCAACCAAGGCTTCGATGCCAAATGCAGCAATCATCGGTGACCTAGACAACGGTGATGCAATCTGTGGCGAGACGTGGCTTCAGTTCCTCACCAGGGTTTCTCCCATAGCTTGTAGCTTCATAAGTTCATAAGTTCATAACTTGATTTGATTGATAACTTCTCATTGATAACTTTGATGACCATTGATTGATAATTTTGATAACCATAGCTGGACCATAACCCATATGGCCCATAACTTGGCCCATAACTTAGCCCATAGCCCATAACCATAACTTACCATAACTGAAACCAGGACTATGGACAACTATGAGTGACCTAGGCTATGGACCCTGGACCATAACCACAACTACCATAAGTTCATAATATGTAGCGGTAGCGAGCTCGAGCTCACTCAGGTCGAGAAATCGGTACATGAGGTAGTAATGTGTTCTCCGAACAACTCAGGGCCATAAGGGTTTCGTTGGGACACTATGGCTAGGGTAAGGGTTACTTTGGGTTTAGGGAGTATGTTTGGGGTCCGGAGGGAATTTGGTTTACTGCAGACTTGGGGGTTCAGGGAGGTCCGTGCCGTTATGGCCGTTTAGAGCTTCATTTAGAATCTTAATCAAAGGCCCTAGAGTACAAGTTAAGGATTCAAGGAAGTTCAGGGTTTAGTTTAGACGGTTTAGGATGTCGGGCTTGGGTCTTTACGGTTTTCGGCTGTCTAGGCGAGGTTAGGGCCCAGGCCCAGGGTTTGGAAGATTTGGGCGGTTTGGGGAGTTTGGGTAATGTAGGGTTGATACATGAACCGTCGGCCTTGCTGCATGTGCTAAGTAACCTGTAAAGCTGAGGTTGCCATCATATAACTTCTGGCAGCAGATGATATTATTGAGATCTTGGCCTGGATTTCTGTTTGGTGTGCTTTGTGGGAGGAGAGTTTTTGTACATTGTACAGCTGGTCGTGGTGGTGTTTCTGCAGGACGGAGGCACAACGTAACCACAATTTCTGGTGTGTCTTATGGCGTGTTTCACACACTTCCGTCAGTCATCTTGCCCAGCAAGAATATATGAATATTGGGTACTGCCCCCACTCAGTAACAGTTGGATAATATTATAATATTGGTAATATAGACATTATAGACATATAGACTACTATACCATATAGACATATATAGACATATTCGGACCTTATAAAATAGTAGCCCTATTATAGACTGTTACTGTATGGGGGCAGCACCCAATATGAATATTTGTTTGTTCTTGCGGCGGGCGGATGCTTGTGTTTGGCTGCAGCTGCATCAAAAACGGGTGCCACAGCAGATCGGCAGCAGCTGTTAAGTGAAGCTTACAGTGCCATCCTGCATGTGGCACTTGCAGGCCAAGGCCCAAGAAACCAACAGCATTGGCCTGGATTAGTCATATCATAGACACGTGAGCACCCAGATAGGAAAGGAGATTAGGCCCCTGTCACACTTCCACAAGAGTCACCAAGCCTTAGCGTTAGCCTGTGTGGGCCCCGAGACATAAGAGAGCATTCCAACCCAACCCGGCGATTGCGACCTTTCAGTGTTTCCAGATTCCAGCTGCTGCAGTACGACGAGGGCCTTGCACCATGGCTCTTTGGACAACTCCACAGAAGGAGACGGGCAAGTTCTTGTTCTAGGTTGGGAAGATCAAACAGTTTAGTTTGGGTACTGCCCCCACTCAGTAACAGTTGAATGATATTATTCATAATGCAGATATATTAGGACCTAAGTAGTAGCCTACTTATAGACTGTTACTGTATGGCGGCAGTACCCAAAGTTTAGTTGTTTTAGATTGCACAAGTCCTGATGCAAAAAACTTAGCACATTGGATACTGCCCCCACTCCGCAACAGTTGGAAATAACAGTAGTCTAATTCAGTATAAGATAAGCATAGCAAGTTAGTAATACTTGAATAACTTATGTAGGCCCTCCAGATACAGACTGTTGCACGGTGGGTGCAGTATCCAAGTATACACACACATGACAGCACATGGCTTTGTATCCTAGTCTCCACTACTTCGCAGGACACAGATCACAATGTGAGCCAGCATATGCGTGTTGCAGAAGCTGGTCGACGTTTGTCTTTTGGACATGAAAGTGCACACAGCGACAGGTCGGACTATGCCTTTTTTGAACAACCAAGCCCTCTGGGTGCCTCACCTGAACGAGCAGCTACCTTTGATGATGCGGGGTCCAGCCCACTGGGACAGGTTCTCTCTACGGTGCTCCTTGGTTTGCCGCAACGAGAGTGGGAACAGGTTCTGGCAGCCACTAAAGGCCTTTGCAAGACAGAAGGCCTGCAAATTGGGGTCACAACGGTTGGGACTGGTGCGGCTACGGCAGTCTGCGCGCTGCAGGACTTCAGTGCACCTCTCAATGGTTGAGTGAGAGTTGAATAGTTGAACAGTTGAACCAAAGGTAAGGCAATCACAATCTGATTGTTGCTGGAAATAGGAAAGGTTGCGCGTTGTTCCCGCGTGTGTGTGTGTGTGGGTGGTGTGTGTGTGTGTGTGTGTGTGTGTGTGTGTGTTTGTGAACTGATTGTGTGTATTTGTTGGCCGGAGGATGTGTATTATGTGTACCTGTACCGGTGTGTACCTGTACTAATTACGTGTGTGATGTGTGGCGTTGTGGGTCTTCGCTTGAACGTGTGGATCCTGAACCTGACTTAAAACTTGGCCTGCAATTCCTAGCCCTGAGCAAAACACTTAAACAGGGCGCATAATCATGCAGGCCCTAGCCCTAGCCTAAAAGTTTCAATTTTCAACCTCTTCCCAGCCAATCACCCAAACTAAACCTTAAAACCCGACCCTGCCCCAAACCCGGCCCTCCGGGCTGCCTAAACCTTCTACGATCTGTGCATATGTGAATCACCTGCTCCTGTCCAGGATATCTTGGCCACACTGATGAAACTGCACCAGGACATGGAGGCAGTGAAGCCTTTCCCACACGATTGGCCCTTCATTGCACGGACCATACTTTCGCATGAAGTTTGTTGCTTGGACAAGGAACAGGTGAATTATCAACAATGGATTCAATCGATGGGTCCTGTCAAGATCTTGACTAATGACCTGAGTCAGATGTCTTCGCTCGCTGTTTTCGATGTGACGAGCAAGCAGCTTGTGCCCTGCGTGCCGACTGGTGTGTGCATACTGAGCATGCAGTGCCGGGATGTTTTACCAGATGAGTGACTTGGATAGCCTGGATGGCACTAGACTAGCACTGGTCGGTGAGTGTTGCAGTAGGTGTGCAGGGACAAAAAGATGGAGGATGGTTTTGGATGGTGATGCGAGAGGTGTGATAGATAGGCTTGATAGGCAGTGATGGGTAGTCGTCTATAGTCTATAGTCGATATAGTCAGAAGTCATATCAGTCATATCATATAGTATCATACAGTCATATAGTCATATAGTGATGGTCCAGTGTTGGTGATGGTCGGTGATGGTTGTGTTCTGGCAAGCACATTCCCTGTATTCCATATATTCTGTTTTTATGCTGTATTGTAGACAGTACTGCCAGTTTAGTGACTTGAACAGCTAGTATATGTTGCATGGGGACCAGTTATTGAATTTGGAGACAGTGAGGCCAGTGATGCGATCTCTGAAACGAAAGAGGAGCCTCAAACATTCAGCGTCGGAAGTGGAGATCTCTACGTTCAAGAAGTGCATGGGATTTTTGAAACACCATGAGCCCACGTACATCTACCTAGAAGTCACTGGCGACTTGCAGGTGGGAAACTCAGATACTTGGCTGTTATGATCGTTCCTAGATGGCCGGACAGAGAGTATGCACGACCCGACGACCCAGTATGACTCAGTAGGACAGTATGGTCAGTATGGTAACTAATGCAAGCTATCCCTGGGCAAACTGAAGTTGAGTCGGCCAACTCCGAGGAAGACCTCTTACGTGCAAAGCACATCATCTTCCAGGAGTTGTGCCTCATGCAATACTGCTTGGCCTGGAAATTGGTGAGCCCTTCCACTGCTGGGTTGCCTTTGGCTGAGCTGCGCTTGCACATCCAAGGTTTGCGTAGTCAAGTTTGTGACAAGGCTGAAGAGCAGGTCCATATGTTGCAGAGATTCTGGGATTCCATCGGAGAGGTTTCTGCTCCTCCACTCAGTCTGCAGGGCTTGTTGGCAAGTAACACCTCCAGAGCTGTGACTCGGGCAGCTGTTGAAGTGGCCAGGGCAGGCCAAGGAACGGTGAAGGAGCCCCACAAGGAGAATCACCAGGAATGGAAGCAGCTGCAGGAGCTAGAGCTCCCAATTGACAAGGCTGGGATGTTCTCAGTGACGGTGCATTTTCAGGGTTCATATCAGGGTCCAAGAAGTCCAACAAGAGTCGAACAATGTGTTCCCTGGCAAACCAGGTGGACCTTTTGCGTCAGCTGCACACAGGCAACATGTGGTTCCAGTGCCTCTCTCCAGCAGAGCAGAAACTGGTTCTGTATCATGACATTGTGAACCCTTTGCCGGATGACATTGTGAATGGAGATTTCCAGAACAGCGATGTGTTTCTGGACTTGCAAAGCTGGCCTGTTTCTTTTCAGCTCCAGTTAATTTACCTCAGATAGTGATAGTCTGTCCGTCTCGTATTGGTGCTAGGTCCCGTCTGTCCGTCTCGCATGGGTGCCAGGTCCCAGCCATCGCAGGACTCTGGCCGATCCGGATTGGCATTCATCCGCTCAGGGAAACCAGTCTGGCTGCGCCTTAAACGGCGACTCCTTCTGGGCAAGGAGAGGTTAAGGATGCTTGGCCTATCCATAAGTGATACAGAGGCAGTAGAGGATAGTGAGACTCTCAATTACGCGAGCCAGCATACCCTGGACTTGTACAGCATGTCTCTGGGCTTTGCAGCTGCTTTGTCTTCTCTGAAGCTAGACTATTTCAGTTACAGCAGCCGTGGTACTTGCGGCAACGGTCATTGATACAAAGCTGTGAAACTATGCTTTGTTTAGTTGTATTAAACTATTTATTAGACTATCGTTCTACTGTACTCAGTGACTAGCAGATTAGCATTCACGCGTGGTGCTGATCTGTGCCGCAATTTTGGCGCTGCTGCTTGTGTCTGCAGTTAGAGTCAGTGTGCATGGAAAAGGTTTTCAGGTTGCCTGCTGTTTGGCAGCATGAAGCCTGTGGCTCATTGTGTCTTGAGGATGTGTCAAGGCATGAGTGTCACCTGCCTTGCTGTCCAAGCTTTCACAACACAGTCATGCCTGAGTTGCTCGAGGGGCACGTGGAGTGCTGGGTCTCTTGAGATTAGGTTGATACTTCTGCCAGGCCATGGCAGCGATGCCAAACCAGTGTGCCATGGGGAGTGCTGGGAGGGAAAATCCCGGCTCGGAGCCCATGCAAGTGGTGGAGCTGTCTGAGGATGCCACGAGGCAGCTCATTTTGCATCAAACAAATGAGCCGCAAACGTGACCGTACCGACCATACGTGTATTAGGAGGGAGATCCCCCACACTCACACTTCGGGTTTAGGGCTAAGCAAGGCCATAAAGAAAAATATTGAATCGTGTAGGGTGAAGGAATAGGAGCTACAAATTAAAGATTAGTGTAGGATTTCGGTGATAGATAGCTGTTGGTTCAGTTTAGTGCCTTGTGTGTTATTGAGTTGGGGTTTAGTGAGTTTACTGAGTTTGCTGTTTTTACAATCAGGTCTAAGTCAGGGTCCAGGTTTCAGATTCAGTTGAAGTTCACGGGTCTGGTCTGGTGTGGTGAAGTCTCGGGTTTGCTTTTGAGTGGAAGATAAGATAACGAAGATATGCTATGTTATCATGAAACCTCCGACAGGCAGTTGGAGAACGACCTCGAGAGGTATCTTCTGGATAGCATGGAAGATGTGGACGAGAGTGCGGATATCTGTGCCTTGTGCCTGACCAGCTCTGGGACCCCACATCCATGCAAGAAAGATGCCGTAATCAAATTTCCCAAGAAGACGAAGTGTGAGATGTGTCACATCCTTCACTTGCTGTACTACGGAGAGTTGACTTGGAAGGCCAGGGCTGCCCTGGTACAGGTTCTAATTTCAAGGGAGGTTGGGTGTACTCGTGTACTGCACTATCCTTGACGAGGAGGCAGCTGAGCTGGTGATGGCTACTCCAGAAAGAAAGGCCTGGTTCCTCAAGACGCGAGGAAAGCTTATCCAGATCCTGCCCCTGCTGAATTTGCCTCCCTGGTGGTCAGTGGACCCCCTGCAGTCACTTGATTAGTTTCTGAGTGCACAACGATTGCCATAGATTGCCTTGCAGGTTCCTTGAGGTTGCCTTGTCCAGGGCCATCTCTGGTTTGAAACTGTATCGTGTGTCTACTAGGAAGCCTCAGATTCATGTGCTTTTAGTGATTGATTGAGCTGCAACTGCGTGACTGGACACCACGCACTGTCTGTGTACATGTCACTCTGACTTTGTGCCTAAACAACTTTATGTGATTGCAGCAGAGGCAAGTCTTCCAGAAGAACGCGACCCAGGTTATCACAGAGACTTTGGGACACGAGCTGGCCTACACACGTGAGGCTTACAAAAAAGAGCACCAAGACCGGGACCCAGAAGCCGATGGTCTGACGTCGCAGTCAATGGAGATTGACGGGGACAAACACCAGGTGTTCAAGGCCATGCTGAACCACTCGAATCACTCGAATTACTCAGCAGTCAACAGTCCCCAAGCCCAGTCTGAAAACAGTTCTAATTCCAAGTACTGTGTTATTGTGTCAGTGTCATTGTGTTGGTACTGAAACACTACTTGTGTGTGACCGTGTGTGTAATGTGTCTTTCCTGAAAGCTGCAGGTGTGGAGTGGGCCGCGGGGAGTGTGGAAGGTGCGGTGCCAGCACATCGGCACCGTCGAGCACAGCCGCGTGTTGGATGATGGGTTGATCCAGCTGCTGTGATGCAAAAGTGAGGAGTTAGGACATTCAGTCACTGTGTCATTGTCAGTTCATTCGCGCTGCTAGCCTGTATCTACAAGCTTCCTCAGACTCCAAGGCCCCCAATCATCAGAGTCAGACTTTGAAAGATTGTAGACGGCGCCCACCAACACCCGCATAGATTCGCTGTGATGTTGTCGATTCTAGCCTAGGCTTGTGGTACTTTTTTGCTTGTACCTCCGAGCCTTGCTTGCAAGCCCCAACGCAGCCCTTCAGGCTCCAGGCGAATCAGCAGACCAACCGGTTTGCTTCCCGGGTCAAGCTGCTTCTGGAGAACTGGAACCCGAAGACCTTGAAGGCCTGGTGTGTTTGCAATCCATGCAGTACATGTACACAGTACAGTACACCCCACCCATGCTTTCGCGCACTCTTACATACTATATTCAGATTTATTTAGTATATAGAGTACTGAGTACAGTGTACAGTGCACATTAAAGTTGGGCTGCATGGTCTGTGTAGTCTGGCCTTGATGTTCAACAGTTGCATCAAGTTGCATCAGTTACATCATGAAAATCAATCACATGCATGACCCTGCCCAGCCCTTCCCTAAACTAAATTCCTATGTCGGGCCCTTAAACCCAAAAGCTGAGGATCTCACCCTCAACGGCCTCAAACCGTAAGTCGCAAGCCTTCCCCGATCCCTACACATTGCCCGTTGCCCACTTGAAAGTTGGCTGTTGATTTGAGTCCATTTCCTTATTCTCATTTTGCTGTTTTAACTTTGACATTGATTTAAATTACATGATCGACTGATTTAAACTAAGTTGTACAGACAGGGGCCCTACCCGATGAAGCTGAAACCATTCCTCGAGCCTCAAACCCTAAACAGCCCTAAGCCCGGCCCGAACCTTTCTATCGAACCCTGAAGCAACCTTGGCACGTACCTCACATACCCCTTTCACTTCAGCATACGCCGCAAGCCCCCAAAACGAGCTAGTTCCCTTGCGGCCGCCAGGACGACAAGCTGCCGGCAGCTCCGAGGGTCAGCTTGAGAAGCAGTGGGGCTGGTGCTGGGAACCCCCCCTCGCTCTTGGAGGGCTCAACAGGTCCCACTCCCAGCGTTGCCGGTGGGGCTCAGTCTGTTCGTGATGAGACACCCGCGCCACACATTTCTGAGTCGGAAGACGAGGCTCAGGCACTGGGCCTCAAGAGTCGACCATCGGACAAGAAGAAGGCTGGCCCGAAGCGAAAGAGGACAACCGAGGAGATCCTTTCGGATCAGGTCATGGCCGTGAGCGAGGAGGTCGCCTTGCTTTTGGACAAGCTTTCCTCCTTTCCGGATGCTCCCAAGTTTGCGGATGTCAGCCGAGTCGACCGGATGGCGTCCCGAAAACACAAAGAGTTGAAAGACGCTCACCACTACGAGCAGGCCGGGGAAGTCAAGAAGATGCTGGACCAGATCGAGGCATTGAGGAACTGCTACAAGGTCGGTGTGACTTTCCTTACGGGCACCCAGGCAAGCCGAAAAAAGGCAACTGGGGAGTTTCTTCTGCGCTTCGACACCTGCCAGGAGGGCTACCCGGAAGTCTACACCTCCTTCTCGCAGACCGTTCGCCGCGCTCACGTGGAGGCTTCGTTCACCCACTCCGTGGAGAAGCGGGAGTGGAGTTCGACCTCGCGTTACATGGAGCAGAAGACACTTGCTCTTCTGTATGATGACGTGGGGGACCGGTCGGCCCGCTGCATGGAGGCGGTCATCGGCTCGATCTTGAAGCAGCACGAGGACCCGCCGGACCTGGATGCTGCAAGCAAGAATCTAGTTCAGGTGCTCGAGCGGCTGGTGGATGTCGTCCATGAAGACATCCAGGAGCCGACGAAGCACATCGTGTGCCTTGCCAAGCTCGATGTGGCTGAGACCTTGGAGTGCCTCGAGGAAGCAATCGCAAGCTGCCTGAGCAAGAAGGAGGAGCCCATCTACAGGGCACTGCAGCAGGACTTTGGCCTGAAGCTTTTGCAGATGGCAGAGGCTGAATGCCAGAAACGTGCTCTGCGAAGAGATTCCCTGGCATCCGTGGCCAAGTGCCAGGTCTTCTTCGAGAACTTCCTGAAGGAGGATGACGTGAAGGAGTACCTCGAGACAGGCAAGGAGGAGAGCTTGGAGCAGACGCTGAAGAAGGACTTCGGTGACAAGTGTGTGGAGCTCCAGAACCTCCTTGTCTCAGGCAGTGAAATGCTCATCGACGGCCCGAAAGAGGCGGCCTTCATGAGCTTTGTCGAGGTGTGCAACTCGGTGCTCAGCACAGCTGTGCTGAAGCGCATGGAGGCGCGCTTTCACTGGAAGCAGTCAGGGCCGATGTTTGCTTTTGCAGTAGCAAGAACCAGGGGCCGTCGTCCGAGTTATTTCTAATTAGTCAGTCTTCTTTATTTAGTCTATCTATTATGGCATATGGCTTTCAGTGTATCATTCTGTATATCGACTTTGTGTCAGATTTCACAGGAACTGGAGGTGGCCATGCCATTCTTGTGATAGCAGAGTTGCGGCTAGATTGGCTTTTGCGGCTTTTGTTCAAAAATTGCATGACGTATGTTGGGGATTATTGATATTTTGTGTCGGAGTCGGAGTCGTGGTGCATTGTATTGCTTAGTTCTGGCAGACCGGCTATATTCTGTGTGGGAGTTGCCCATTTTTTAAGGCTCTGACTCGCCTGTGACATTTTTGTTCAATAAGTGCATGACACATGTTGGGGACTATTGATATTTGAAGTCGTGGTGTATTGTACTTCCTAGTTTTGGGATTCCGGCTATATTCTGTATGGGATTTGCCTCTCTTTTACGGCTGTGGCTTGCCTCTAACATTTTCTTGAACAAGTGCATGACGTATGTTGGGGATTCCATTGGGGCTAATTATTAATATTTCGCGTCGTGGTGAATCGTGGTGTACTGTATTATATTTCATATTTCCTAGTTCTCGGATTTCGGCTATGTTTTGTAAGTGGGGTGGGAATTATTGATTTTTGGTGTCGTGGGGGGTATTGATATTTTGTGTCATGGAATCGTGGTGAATTTCGTGGCTAATTGTATTCTAGTGTATAGACTAGTAACTAGTGTATTTGTATTAGTATCTGAGACTGAGATTCATGATTTCATGATTGTTTAAAATTATGCATTTCCTGTCCCTTATCCTTTTTCTCGGATGTCGGCCCCTCGGCTCTTCTACGGGGTTTGTTTATGTTGCTTTTTGTTTTTAAGGGGACACTGGGACACTCCTGTAAGCTGGGACACTCCTGTGGTTGAAAAAAAGTGTATACCTTGTATAGTTGTATATGAAATGTAACTGCTGTATGTATTGTATAAATTCCCCTCCTTCTGTCGCTTCAGCTCAGTCAGGTATAAGATTTCTAAGGATCTCACAGAATCTCACATCAGGCAGGTTTAGGTGGTTTGTTGTCATGTTGATGGCTTGACTCACAAAGCCTATTGTTGGAACTGTTGGAACTTAGTTGGAACAGGAGATCGACGCGAATGTGGGCATGTTCGTGTGGGACCGTCAGGTGCAAGCCGAGGCTGTGGAGTTGGATCCGGAGGCACTCAAGGAAACCAGCAGCTCCAGCAGCCACAATGCTATCGCATTGTGCATTCTGCGAGAGCCCAAGATCAACACGATGTTGATGCAAGCGAACGACCGAAAGCTCCTGCCGAACACCATGGCCAAGGCGTTGCAGCAGGGTGTGCTCCTGGAGAAGGCCGAGTCTTGGCCGAGCTTCAAACTAGTGACTTCGGGTTAGCAGTTAGCCTTCCCGTGAGTCTCTCCGTCTCGCCCTCTTTGGCACATTCTCTCTCCCTGTTACTTTCACTCTAACTTGACCTCGCCCTGGCCCGTGCACTCGCACTCACCTTCCCACTCTCACTCTCATTCTCACACTCATACTCACTCTCTGCTTGTCTCTCTCTCTCTCTCTCAAGGATGCCATGATGGCTTCGTCTGCGACTTTGATGTCGTTGACGGGTGCGGCTGGCAAGACATTCTGCTCCTGGAGAGACGGCTTCCGCACTTCTTGGACCAGGGACGCAATGGGAGCTCTCATCGACTACTGCACAACGGCATCGATGGGAAACGACGTCCAACAGGAGGCAAAAGCCTTGAAGATGGACGGTGTGGCAACGATCGCAGGCAGCTGTCTTAGCTTTGTGCAGAAGGCCCTCCCTGACGTTTGGAATCGTGCCGAGGCAGGGCAGCATGGTGCTTGGGGCTTGCTCGATGGAGAAGCTAATGTTACCAATTTTTGCCTTACATCACATTGCATCATCACATCATCAATGCAATATCTGTTACATCCAGCTAATAGCTTAGACAGCTTAAAGTTCGTTGAAACAGTAAGGGCAAGGGCCTTCAGTAAGGGCCAGGGACTACGGGCTCAAGTGTTTTTCTCGTTTCTCAATCATTTTGATTCCTCGCCGCACCTCCTGTTGCAGGCTGAGTTCACAAACAGGCTGTTCAAGCTGGTCGGGGAGAATGGGGAGTTTCTGCCAAGTCCGAGCTCAAAGACTCCGGCCGAATGGCAGGCCCTCCACAACGAACACCTTGATCCAGAGGAGGACTTTCTCGTTTTGTCGAAGATGGCCCCAATGCTGAGCAAGGACATCGGCCCCGTCGGCCAAAGGTACAAGGAGAACAAGCTGAAGTTCCTCACCGTCCAGTACATCCAGTACCAGGCAATGGCTGCTTCGCCAACCACTTTGGACACCCAAGCAGAGCATTTTAAAGGTCTCATGCAGCACATGAACTTGATCGTGGAGGAGTGCAAGGCCTGGGACAGAGACTCAAGCGTCTTCAAGAAGGTCATCAAATACATGCAAGACCACGTGATACCGAAGGCCTAAAGTGTGAAATTGACTAGTAGTCAGTAGCGCGTATGCGGAAAAACCTTGACGATTCTGGGGAGTGAGCCCTCAAACCTAAGCCACCTAAGCCCCTAAATGCCCCTAAGCCTTAAACCCCTAGGCCCCTAAACCATAACCGCCATAAGCCTTAACCTTAACCCTTACCTTAACTTTAACCTTCACCTAAACCGGCCTAAACCGCCCTGCGAAGTGAACAAACCTTAGAACAAACCTTAGCCTAAGCCGCCAGCCTCTAAGCTTAAGCCATTGCCATAACTGGGCCATATAGCCTCTACCTCTACTCTAAACTCTTAAACTCTAAACTCTAAACCTTAAGCCCAAAGCTCATGAACCCACACAGGTTTGGAAGGTGATGCAGGACAGCTTGGGGGCGAGCTTGGGGCAGGCCGTGCAGGCCATGCCACGTCAGTGGGAGAAGGTGGTAGAGTCGCGCGGCATACAGCAAATCAAGCTGTCCTTGTTTCAAAAGCAGACCCACCAGAAGGCGGGAATCCAAATATCCAGACTTCTGGTCACTGATCCACCATCAGCCCAAAATCCTGCCCGAGACCATAGCCTACCCTGAAACTAGACCAGACTAAATTCCTGCTTACCTAAACCCCATACGCGCGGCCCATACTGTTTGAACTTAACTAACCTCGCCCTCTACTCCCTAGGCCCCAAGCCCTGCCCCTGGCCATAAACTCTAAATACCTTGACCCTAAGCTTCCTGGCAGGTTTGTGGTGACCAGGAGATCATTTACGCCATGGCCAAGGACTTTTTGGACGCGCTAAAGCTGTGGCTTTCAGTGTCGGCTGCTCTTGTGACGCCTGTGCAGCTCTCCACGTCAAAGACGATTGAGACACAGCTTAAGAGCTTGAAGAGCTATGCAAGTTCGGTTCATGGCTTGAATCTCCTGCTCCACGTGTTCCCTTCGAAAAACCCACGTGAGCGTGCTGGAAGCCTCAGAGAGTTCTTGGATTTGCACCATAGCCACCTTTCTCGTTGCTAGAGGGTTCCGAGTTTGAGGTGGCCATAAGTAGGATAAGATAGGGTTTGAAATAGATTTTGGGTTAGTTTTGGTATATCAGTTGGGCTAGGCCAGAACCTTTCCCAGCCTAGGTTTAAGAAGGGCCTCGAGCGCAGCAAGACTATCGTGCCTGCAAGCCTGATCAAGTGGATGAGTGAGTCTGCCCAGTGAGCTGGCGAGCGAAGGGTGGCAGTTTTCGGTGCACATTCCCTGCAGCATTGCTGACGGCATCTAGCCCCAGACAGATAGGCTACAGAGCTGAGCTACTGGTCGGGTCTGGTTTTTTTGATAGCCTGGCCCAATAGCATGACAGTCACGATCCCAGCCATAATCCAAGCAATAGGTCGCCTAAGCCATCACCATCGTAGCAATAGGCAGTAGGTCCAGAGGCATCGGCATCGGCATAGGTGGTGTAGATAGGGTTCAACAAGGGGTAAGTTCAGTCAAAGCTTTAGCAGCCCTTAGCAGCGTTTTTTGAGTAGCACTGCACTGTAACACTGATTCTGTCAAGGCTCTTCTCTTGCACCAGCATCAAACATCATGGTACATGGTGCAGGCTAAAGTCCTGGAAAGCGTAGATTGCTGGATTGCCTTCAGAAGTACAGGCAGGGATTGCTGCAAGAGTAACAGTGCCATCCCAGAACCATATTACGCGACTCTTTGCGTGAGTGTCTTGGCTACAGAACAGCAAGTCCTATTGAGTAATGCCGTGAAATGCCTCACCCCGCACCGTGCAGTTGGGGAATAGCAAACAAATTGGTCGTAGCCCACTGTCCCCAAAAGCCAAGATATCCCCGCTCTGAGTCGATTCACCGTGCAGTACACAAGTCCAGCCATGAACAGGCTGCCAGGCTGCAGTTGACTCCCGTATGGCTCATGACTCATATGACCCATATCATCACTGTCATCACTCATACAATCGGTTGTCACGCTGAGAGGCTAGTTCAATCATGCGTTGTTTCCAGGGGGTCGGGGCAGATACAACGTGTCCTGGTCTCCTGACCAGCAGCGTCAGGCTAGCGCCCGGGCATGTTGAAATTTTGGAGCCTGCCCAAATTACTCAACAACTCCCCTCCGTCCATATTGCACACCTGCACACCATATACCGTCTACCACAGATACTTTACCCAAACATCAGCGTCATTGTACAGCAGATTTTGGGCAGGCCATCTGGGGTAGGGCTCCGGTAGGCAGGTTAGGCAATGCTAGGGGCTAGAGAGGCAGTGGGTTTTGTTGTGCTGCAATTTTCCTGCGCAATAGGCTCAGGGCTTTTAACAAGCACCACTGCACCACCGGTACCACGGCGCCCCACTCCAACCACAGACCCGGACTGTCCCGGACTATCTCACGCATCCCTGAAGCAATCTACATAGTGCACTGGGTGAGGTAACGGTGGAACACGTCAAGAAGCAGCAGAACACTCCTCAAACCCGAAGGATTGCACCCTGCCGACGGAAGGAAAACACAGATGTCCGGGGTTGGCCTGAGGATGCCG